TAGATTTAAAATATATATACAAATACAATTATGTCAATAAGTTAAAATTATTTAAAAATATATGCATAAGCTAAATAATATCGATTAGTTATAATTAAAATATCCATACATATATATATACATACATATATGGATCTAAACAAAATTTCAAGAAGTTAAAATTAAATAAATTGATTAAAATTAATACACAAATTAAATGTCAGTAAGTAGAATTAAATAAAAGAATTTAAAAAAAAAAATTGTTTAAAACATATACACATTGATAAAATAGTTTTAGTAAGTTAAAATAAAAATAAGGTAAATAGATTAAAAATATATATACAAATGAAATAATATCAATGTGTTAAAATTAATTAAATGGAATAAAACTGTTTAAAAATATATTCATAGGTTTAATAATGTCATTAGTTAAAATTTGATAGGTAGATCAATAATATTTCAATATACATACATATATACACATATAAACATGGATTAAAAAAAAAAAATGTCAAGCAGTTAAAATTACAATTAAATATAATAAATCAAATCAAATTAAATATAATAAAGAATTGCATATATGTGTGCGTCAACATACCCTTCAAGAGAGAAAAAAAAAAAAAGACATTTTCCATACCCAATTACTATCGCATATACAAACATGTGGAATAACGTTATTACAATATTTGTTATTTTCCACTGTAAAAAGAAGGCAGGCTAGTGCGACGACAGACAGCAGGTTGAAGTCGTCAGATTGGTGACAGCTGACAATGATCCTGGCAGCCAGCTGGTGGAGCACGGTGGTGGGGAGGTGCAGGTATATTCCTTATGGTAGATAAGGGCCAGGCCTGGGTTATGAGCAGCTTTCTTTACCCTCAATTAATTCCGAAGACACTCGACAGATTTTCTTCGAATTTCGTACCACGCTCACAATCCCTTCCAACGACATTCGTGACAATTTTGAACTCGGACGGATGAGAAAAAACACATCAGAGGAGAGTACAACATAGACCCGATGTTGCTCTGCCATAGGCTGAAGCCTGACTAAAATTATAAAATTTCAGGTGCAGGTCTTTAGCACTCAGCTCCGTCTAGGTGCAAAATCTCAGATGAATTGGACGAAAATTACCCAGTCATAAATCATAATGACGTGGAGCCTAACTTTCTTTTTCACCGGCTCGAGCCGAATTCCCAAATAAGACCCCGAACAAATATGACAATAATAAGACCTATTTGGACTTACGGAATTGAGCTTTGGGGCTCCACTAAACCATCGAATTCCTCTCGTATCCAATCCTTACAATCCAAAATCCTTCGTAAAATCCTCAACGCTCCTTACTTTGTCACAAATAAAATCATCCATAAAGACCTTAATGTTCCATATGTTTCTAATTTGGCCCAATCCTGATACCTATCCTTCCATAACAAACTGCAGAACCATCCGAAACCTCTCGTTTCAAACCTTGCTTCCTCCTCGATCCCTGATAACCCTCCGAGGCGTCTGAAAAGAAGATGGCCTTGGGACCTTCTAATATAGAATTTTAATTTGATTTCTAATAATGGGTAGTTTCTCTTCATGTTGTACATGTCATGTTACCAATGTCATATTTACTTGTTGTATTTTCCATGTAATACAGTTGAAAATTTCATTAAAATAAAAAAAAAAAAAGGTTATAAACATGTGCTTTATACATCTATGAAATGATGTGATATTCCACTTCTTCTTTCACACAAATAAAATGAAATAGTATTTTAAACAATGGTATTGTATTGATTAAGTGGATTTTAAATACTTTTTCAAACTAAAAAAAAAAATGTTAAAAGTTTACATTTAGTAAGAAAATTTAATTTAATTTCCTTGAATTTATTTTATTTACTGTACATAGAGTGTGAATGTGATCTGTGAACACTATTATTAATGTCCCTGAGACAGATTGTAATATATTTCAATAAATAAGCTATTAGAAAAAAAAAAATTTCCTTGAAAACACTCGATTTATGTTAAATAATGTTAGTTTTTAGAAATTATTATTTATATTTTTTTCGCCACTTTCCGTTACCTTCTACAATTTTCTATATTAGATATTGTTTTTGTTTTTTTAATTCTCCGCTTCTAACTATTAATTCCGGATATTAATTTTCGGCCTCGATATGTATTTTTCTTTTTTTCTCCCATATTCAATAATCAAATTCTTTCAAAAGTTATATTTAACATTTTTTCATAACTCCTAACAATGAGAAATAGTTATTATTTACAATAAACCAAATTAAAGGTATGTTTGACTAAGCTATAACAATGTTGGGATTTTAGAAATGGAAAATTTATCACATTATTCACTTATTTAATTTTCTAAAATATTACATAACGATTTTATGGAATAAACGGACGCTGATAACTAATTATTTAAATATAATATCAGATCTAGAATTATTCGAGAATCCTAACAAAATACAATAAGTATATTTAAGGTTATAAACATATCCACGAAATATTTTTATATTTCACTTCTTCTTTCACACAAGTACAATGAAAAGTATCTTAAACTGTGTCACTGACTTGAATCCGTGGATTTTAAATACTTTTTCAAACTAAAAAAAAATATGTTGAAAGGTTACATTTAATAAGAAAATTTCATTTAATTTCTTTGAAAACACGTGATTTACTAGATATAGGTTTTCAAAAATTATTGTTAATGATTTTTTCGCCACTCTTCAATACCTTCTACAACTTTCTATATTAGATATTGCTTTTTCGAAAATGCTCCGCTTTCCAACGATATATTATACGTATACCTTCTGGCTAGTATTTCCGGAGATACTGGCTTCTGAGGTACATATACTAAAATTGGAACGATACAGAGAAGATTGGCATGGCCCTTGCGTAAGGATGACGCGTAAAATCGTGAAGCGTTCCACATTTTTGTGGGCGGGATAGCCGAATGGGCTAACGCGTGTGCACAGCACCACCGTTGCCCGGCAACCTGATATATGAATCAAATGATATAAAAATAGTCACGAGTTCGTGTTCCGGTGCCGAGGGAGTCTTTTAAATCCCCGCCCACACCCTCTGGCCCGGGAAACCCCGTATAGCCCTAACGACTAGGAAGTGAAGGATCAAAAAAAAAAAAAAAAAAAAAAAATGCTGGCCACTAAAGGAAAACTTTTAACAGTCAAGAAAGTCAGATTGTTACGCAATCAGGTATATAAAACTAAGGTGTCAACCAACGCTGATTTTAACCAAATTTGTCAAAAACTGAGACAAATTACTATAAATGGCCCTGTAACTTGGTAATGAGTTCCCTTTGAGGAAAAACTCATAGAATCAAAGTTGTAGAGCGTCAAATTTTGCGTAAACTGAGTGCTGACATTTTCATTGTAGGCCAATTATATATCTGGAATCGAAATTCGTATTCCTTTATAAAATTTGGTATTTTTCGACACATCGTTTACCAAAATCCTTTACTGTTGAGAGGTGGAAAAGAGGCTTATATTGCATTTAACAGACTCTAAACAAAAATAACTCAGTAGAATAGACACCCATACTGTTGAAAGATTGAAAATCACGTTTACCTTCATTACAAATTTCTAACCATTGGGAGATTATCGATTTTGTTCGTTGTAAGTAATCTACATTAAATTAGTTGGTACTCAGTTTACGCAAAATTTGATGTTTTACAACTTTGATTCTGTGAATTTTTCCTCTAAGGGAATTCATTACCAAGTTACAGGCCCATTTATAGTAATTTGTCTCAGTTTTTGACAAATTTGGTAAAAATCAGCGTTGGTTGACCTTGGTTTTATACCTTATTTCGTAACCAAATTATAATGTTCATGAACTTGTTTGGTGCAAAATTTACCATTCTTTAATTTATCATTGGATACATTTTTAGCTTTGATGCATCGTTTAGGAGTTATAGGTGAAAAAACAAAAAATATATTGTAAAAATCTGACTTTTTTGGCTGTAAAAAGTTTTCCTTTGGTGGCCTGCGTTAGCAATTTTGTTTTTTTACTTGTCTAAACCCATATATACAAGTTAAAAAATAAAAACTTTTCTCACATTTTTAGCAATGAATTTCCCGGTTCGATCCACAAGTTATTGGCCTAATATTCTTTAAATCAGCCATTTTTCAAAACAGCGACTCTGGATCGGCAGACAAGGTTCTTTTTACTCAGAATAACATAAATTTCGTAATTTACAATCAAACCTTCTGGGCTCTGGCTCCAGGGCTATTACTTCTTACCCTTTAGTACTACACACAGGCGGATCTACGCAGAGGGGCTTTCGGGCTGAAGCCCACATCAAAATGGTAAAATGTAATCATGTTTTATGGTAAAAAACATTAAAACATTGTCTTAAAGTATTATTGCTCGTTTAATTACATTTAATAATACTTCAAGAATCACTTAAATACCATTTCATATAGGTAGATAGTATCTTTCTGTTTTTCCAAAGTAATTATCTTTATAAAAAAAAATCTTCCGGGCTGAAGTCCCTCAGAAAATTAAATCCTGGATCCGCTAGTGGTACCACACCAAAAAAGCTATGTATAACATCTATATTAAATTTTATCTTTGTATTTACTTTTAAGAGTAATAATTAATAAAATGCATAGTTTCGGAGTTATGGCAAAACATTTTTTTTTAAAAAGTGCAAAAATTTCGCTGTTTTTTGTATAAGCGTTTTCAAAACGCAACAGAGTTCATCGTCATTCAAGATGAATTCTCATTTAGAGACAAATTCTTCACATTGTATCAAAATTTCAGTTCTTCCGTTAAATATAACTTCAAATTAATTCACTTTAATTTAAATTTTCGTATAGGAACATCTTCATTGTCTGACTGCAGCTATATGTTCACATAAGGGTTATGTAGAATTTTAAATGATTATTAGCTGTAAATCCTTCCGTTAAATGAAATGGAAGGTAGCTGATAGTTAATTGGTGCGAGAATTCAGTGACGATGATTTATAACTGATGAGTTGCAATAATCTCCATACCTCTCTGTCTCATTTTGAGCAATCAGTGACTTTCAGTTTGTTGTAGGGAAGGTTTCAGAGTATTTCTTCTCGGTCGGATTAGTGTGTAAAAAATGTCTACTTCTAAAACAGAAGAAAAGCCCATGTGGGACGAAAGGATGGTGAGATGCAATATAGTTCATTGTTTTTGAAAGTATTTAGTTCAACATTGGCCTATTTTACCTGTTCTTCAGTGAACTTAACTTTTGTTTTTTGTTATGTATTTGATATTCAAAGTTATTTTTTCATCATTATCTGTCTGTTTTCTTACCATTTAGTGATAATTTAAGTGATGGTAGTAACCATAGTTTTCTTTATCTTCAGTGGTTATTATCACTTAGAGAAAGAAGGTACGTTTTTAAAAGGTTTTATGCTTATTGATGTGTTTGTAATGTTCATTCCAAAGCCTATTCATTATATCAGGCCTGTTATTATACTGCTAGATCATATGATAGTACTTCCTAAGATTACTCCAAAATCATGGATGAGCACCAGACTATAAGACTGTTCTTGAAAGGCAGAAGCTTGCTGATTGGGTCTGTATTTTGACAGGTTAGGTTACATTTCCTACACAATTTCTTATTACCAAGAGCTATAATGACCATAAATATTATTTTAAACAATATTTATTGTATAATGGCACCATTATTTATTAAATAATGGTTAAATAAATTAATGTTCTTAATAATAATTGAAATGTAGGAACAAGTTTACAATTAAAATATCACCTAAATACCATCAATTTATTTATAAATTGTTCAAGATAGTAGAAAAATAATAAATCAAATTTTTTAAATAATTTTTTTATGACACTAAAAAAAGAATATTTTATCTGCCAAGTATAATGTTTTACTTTCCCTTAGCCATAAATGAAATATATAGTAAGTGACAGTATTGCGATCGTGAAAATTTTCGAATCTTGAGTTTTCAACGAAAATACATGTTTTGAGGTTTCCTGAGTCCCACATAATGTTGTGTGTTTGTGTGTGTCTCTGTCTATCTGTCTATGTATGTGAACAATCTAGCTCAAAAATGAAAAGTCGTATGAAAGTGAAATTGCATACATAAGGTTTGTATATACCTTGTATGTTGCAGCTAATTTTTTCGTAAAAATTGGCTAACCAGAAGTGGCACTTTATATAATCAATTTTACACATTTTTACGATTTTCTCGACAACGGCTCTAAACGATTTTGATTAAACTCGGTATATCAGTGTATTATTAAGCAGTTTTTAATATAATGTAGATTTTATTCTCGTTGATGTTCTCTAACAGGGCTTAAATGTCTAATTTTCAATATAGCTCTCTCTAAAGTACCTTTTTTTTAATTTGAAATAATTACCATTTCACATTAATCATTGATATAAAAAATAGTTAAATTTAAAATATGAAAGAATTTGATAATTAACTAAAAGAGAAATAAGAGATCATGGCAGATAATAGTTATAATGGAGGAACCAAAGGAATATGAGCTCGCTTGAATGGTTAGATCAGGCTTCCATACGTAACATGAGGTTAATGTAATACAGACTCCAACGTTATCATGTAAGTATTCACATGCGGTTTTCATAAATGTTATTGTTGGTATTATTTAATTGTATAGATGACAGCGATATAAAATTTAAATTTTATATATGTAAGAGTAATTAAACAAATAGAAATTTTCACAATGAAATTTAAACAAATATAGCATTTATAAGTTTTACTTTCATTTCCCCTTTCTCTGAAATTACTTATTTCATCTAAGAAGAGACTGTTAAGTGAAAGTCGTGTGATGCTCGCTCCAGATTTTTTTGTTTTGCCTTACCCTGTTCCCTCTTACCCTGTATTAAGTGGTGTAAAATATTTTTTTATCGTGAAACAAGCTGGTATTTTCATTTTTCATTTTTGGTACTCCAAAAAAACTTAAACATGTATTACGAATGAGTCGGAAAATAAAAATTGTTTGCTCAAAATTTTCGTCTAGGCTCCAGCCTTTAATATTCTTTCGAAAATCTCAAAATTGTTAACATTAACATGATTTAATTTATCAACGTTAAACTTAGCAGGGATTTAGTGTCCTATAAACTATAAGAAATCTTATAAACCTAACTTCTGTAAATACAACAAAACTGGTGATATAAATTAAAAACATTTGAGACATTTTCTTAATTGGTTGCTTAAAAAAAAGAATCATATAAGAAAATGTTGAAATTATGTATATTTTTTATCTCTACTTCTTGGATGCATTGGCAAGAAGTCTTGGACACATATATTGTATTTTTTGACCTGTTATCACCAAAAAATGTTTCATTAAAATCAGTGATCCCACATCTCAACCATAGTAACCTCCCCAATTAGTTGTACCCAGACCTAGGAGTGTGATGGTCCAGGAAAAATCTGTCACTGTTCCAACTGCTCCATTGACACCATTGGTATTACATCAAGTGACAGTGACAGTGATAGTGATAGAAGTATTCTTGTCCATTCCCTTAACTTAATTTATGAATATATTATATTTATTTTCTGTCTTCTTGTCCATTAATTAATATGTCATCAATTTATAGCAAAAACATATTTCATAACCTGAAATAATTAATCCCTTTATGAAATCAGAAAATTGTGCGCTTGTTGTAATTGTATATAAGATTTGTGTCATTTACAACAGTTTTGTTTCGAAAAATCGAAATTCACCAAAAGCATATTTGAAAGTTAAATTTAACGTCCCGATATCCTGGACATATTTATCACCTCCCAGATTTCCTCCTCCCAAACTATAATCAAATCCCTGGATGGCCTTTCTTCAGACCATAGTCCAGTTCTGCTTTCACTACATTCTGACTTTGCTCCTAAACCATCACTTCCTAAACTGATCACTGGACGAGTAAACTGGGACAAATTTCGTGATGATTTGGAAAACAAACTAGACCTCAAAATCCCGCTAAAGACAAAAGAAGACATTAATGGTGCCATAGAAAAACTGACATCATCAATAACAGACAGTATAAATAATTACACCTTTATCAATAAGATTAACTTCCCACAAAATACTAACTTGCCACAGCATATTCGTATCTTATTACAGGAAAAACGCAGAGCAAGATCGAAGTGGCATAGGACTAGATACCCAACAGATAAATCGCATTACACACAACTGACTAACAAACTGAAATCAGAAATTAGAAAATACAAAATTCAAAATTTACTAAATTTTACTGAAAAACTTACAACCACTGACAAATCATTATGGATGACCACCAAAAAACTTCTTAAGTTTCAAGACTTTAATCACCCACTACTTACTGATTCCCAAACCTGGTCCAAATCCGACGAAGAAAAAGCCTAACTATTTGGTCAACATCTTTTCCAAACTTTTAATCCACATCCCGATATCCTTAATTCAATTCACATCAATTGTATTGAAGCAGAACTGGATATTCCTCTCCAAATGTCTCTGCCACCCAAAGCATTTCATCCCATAGAAATATCCAACATCATTCAAAAATTACCTTCCCGTAAAGCTTCTGGACATGACCTAATTACATCCCAGATCCTAAAACTTCTTCCTCGAAAAGCCATCCTATTCCTTACTTACATATATAATGCTGTACTCCGTTCTACATATTTTCCTGATCTTTGGAAACGATCTATTGTTAAAATGATCCACAAACCCAAAAAACCACCAGAATACCCATCCTCTTACCGTCCTATCTCTCTTTTACCCATCATGGGCAAAATCCTAGAAAAACTCATCTTAAAACGCCTGTATCCTATCCTAAATTCTAAACACATAATCCCAGATCACCAATTTGGTTTCCGAACTTCCCATTCCACTATACAGCAATGTCATCGTGTGGTAGACGTAGTCTCCTCTGCATTGGAGCGCGGAATGTACTGTACGGGAGTCTTTCTCGACGTTGAACAGGCGTTTGATAGAGTTTGGCACCCGGGACTGCTGTACAAACTCCGAAAATTCCTACCACCTACATACTTCCTCATTATCCGTTCCTACCTTACTGATATATACTTTAAAGTAAATCACAATAACGCCTATTCATCCCTTTTTTCCCAGTCTGCTGGTGTTCCTCAAGGTAGTATCCTAGGTTCTATCCTCTATACAGTTTATACAGCTGACATCCCTACCTGTCCCAACACTGTCATCGCCACATATGCCGATGACACATGTATCCTATCAGTAAACAATGACCCAGCAATTGCATCCCAAATGCTTCAATCACACATCATAAATCTAGAAGATTAGTGTCAAAACTGGAGAATTAAAATAAACTCCAATAAATCCCACCAAATTACCTTTACCCTTCGTCGTAAACCAACGACTTCCTGTCCTACAGTTTCCTTTAACAATACTCCATTTATCCCTGTTGAGCAAATCCGATACCTAAGACTCCACCTGGAGAAACGACTAACTTGGAATCCTTATACTAGACTGAAACGACAAGAAACCGCTCAGCGTTTCCGATTACTTCAGCACTTACTAGACAAACGCTCTAAACTTCCCATTAATTACAAAAGACTCATATACTTGACTATAATAAGACCTATTTGGACTTACGGAGTTGAGCTATGGGGCTCCACTAAACCATCGAATTCCTCTCGCATCCAATCCTTACAATCCAAAATCCTTCGTAAAATCCTCAATGCTCCTTACTTTGTCACTAATAAAATTATCCATAAAGATCTTAATGTTCCTTATGTTTCAGATCTGGCCCAATCCAGATACCTATCCTTCCATAATAAACTTCAGAATCATCCCAACCCTCGTTTCTAACCTTGCTTCCTCTTCAATTCCTGATAAACCTCCGAGGCGTCTGAAAAGAAGATGGCCCCCTGATCTCCTAATGTAGTCATATCATTAGAGTGCTACCATTGGGTAGTTACTCAGCAAGTGTATTCATGTCATTATATCAATTATGTCCAAATTTACTTGATGTATTTATGTAATACAGTTGTAAATGTCATAAAGAAATTTAAAAAAAAAGAAAGTTAAATTTTTATCAAAAATACACTTAGTGACTATTTCCAATAAACTGACAATATATATAAGTATATATAAATCATATTGAATATTTAATAGTTGACCGTTGCATTATAAAGGAAGGAGATGGTCCGGGGTGATTAACTGGATACAGTTCCCACAACTCGGCGTTGTGCAACCTTCTGAATTCTCCATTTAACTCATCTTTCTTCGGTCCGAATATTCTACGCAATACTTTATTTTTAAAAACCTTAAGACGTTGCTCATCTCTTAATAAATATAGTATATAACATATTAATATATTCATAAATTAAGTAAGAGAATGGACAAGAAAACGTTTGTCGCTGCTCCAAACCGAGACCCTGTGACACTCCACCAGTACCTTCACATTCCTACCCAGATTTGACATGGGAGAGGGAGACAGCCGATAAGGCCCCAGACTCCTGTAGGGGGCTGACGTACAAGGTTATATTTTGTGACTTCTTAATTTATATTAAAATAATATAGAAATAACATAAAATAAAAGAACGAAGTTGGTTTTTAACTATAAGATTAGAAGGAGGCCTCAGAAAATTCTACCTGTGGCCCATGGTTTCTGTCCACCGCCCTGTCGATGTCTAAGTGTACTCGGGATACCTGAAGATGAATCTTATGGAGCTATTAATAAATCTCTTCAGCCTAGCTGCAACCATAGTTGTAACGAAATTCAATTTTGTTCTATACATTGATATGAAGCTCATCTAATATTATAATACTAGGTTGTTACAAAAGTCCTTGTGCATAAATATAGCTTAATTTCATATTAAATATTTTTAATGAATTCTTGAAGTTAGTCGACTGTTCTATATATCATGGGTGATAAATATTCAGGACGCAGTCTTTTTAAATTTTTTATTTATGGCAACATTTCAACCCAAACATGTGGGTCATCTTCAGGGTGTGGTTTGAGCACTGAAGGTGTTCAAGTACTCTGAATACTTGAACACCCTCAGTGCTCAAACCACGCCCTAAAGATGACCCACATGTTTGGGTTGAAATGCTGGCATAAATAAAAAATTTAAAAAGCCTGCGTCCTGAATATTTATCACCCATAAATATTTTTAATATTATTGAATACTTCTCTTCAAAGTAAAATCCATTGTTTTCAACTACTTTCACCGATCCTTCTGCCAGTAGTTAGATTTGGTGACAGTACCACTTCTTTTGTTTTGAGGTAAAGAACTCTTCTCATCCAATTTAATGTATAGTAATTATGAAAGTAGTAAACTACTTTTAAAGTAGTTTTTTGCAGTTCTCATAATTTTTCATTGGTAAAATGAAAAGGATGCATAGGGGCATTGTTGTGTTGTGATATGGCTTGGTTCCTGTTAATCAAAGTGGGGTACTTAGCTCTCAAAACTGCATAAACTCTGACTCAGGTTCGAGTCATCTGCCTGACCATCAGGCACTTCTTTCTCAAACTGATCTTGGTGAACCTCAGTTGTGCAGCTTCTCCTGGCTGTACTTACTTCTTATGTTTGCTACAGTTTTTTTAAAATATCCAATTTTTGTCACTTGTGATACTTTTTTTTCCATAACCTGTCATCTTTCAGGTTTTAGAGCAAAATTTTTCAAATATCAACTTGCTGTTGTGCTTGGGCCTCTGTTAAGTCATGTGGGTCAGACAGTCCTTTGTCTTAAATTCCGTATGCCCAGGTCCAATCACTGTGGCATGACATCAGAAGCCCCTACTATGACCGATAAATCACAAGTAGTTGCATGTATGTCCTGGTTTACACTTCAAGTAGAACGTCATCATCAGCAACCTATGGCCGACCTTATCTTGGTTCATCTGCAAGGCTCATATTCCCAATGCCTGAACCTAATTGCAGCAGTATTTTTTCAGCGGCTACCTTTGCACTTAGAACTATTTTTGTTTACCAGTAATGTCTCAAAAGACCGCGAATCACAATATTTCTTCTGACATTGCTACACATACATTTTAAAAATGTAAATGATTCTATAAGCTAACTCAAATCTCAAGGAATCAAAGGATTAGTCAAAGTAAACATTGACATAAATAGTAGGAATCAAAAAATTCTTATAGGATTAATTATGGTGGTTGGAATTAAGGGTTGTGTTCAAGAACAAGGAGTTTTATAACAACCTAGTTGCTTGATACTTTTTTTTTTATGTAATTTTTTTTTTAGAAGACCCATTATACTTGATCCCATTCATTATATTAAAAAGTATAATTCTGATTATAAAGTTCTTGTTGTTTCTATGAATCCTTTAGTTTTTATTAGCTCATCAAGACTCCCCTTCACTAATCTAACCATCAAAATTCCATATTTTAGTGATCCTTAAACTTACTAACAATTATTGAATATTGTTAGTGTGATTTATAGAAATCAGTTATAAAGAACTGAAAAAACTGTTTACTTTAAAACCTGAAAATGTTTCAATTTTGTCACAATTTATTATTTTATTTAAATAATACAACATATACTTCTTTTTACTATTTATTTTTTTTTTTCATTTTTTAGGAACAAGCTTTAAGTGAAGAAATAATGAGAATGTCTACTGATGAAATTGTAAGCCGCATTAGACTTCTTGATAATGAAATTAAAATAATGAAAAGTGAAGTAATGCGGGTCAGTCATGAGCTGCAAGCACAAACAGAAAAAATAAAGGAAAATACAGAGAAGATTAAAGTAAACAAAACTTTACCATACTTGGTATCAAATGTGATTGAGGTTAGAATTTTCCTTAGTTATGTATTTTTAAAGCAATTTTTATTTATTTACTACAACTACAATTACAATAACATAATTTGGCTCAGATTACCAAAATATCTATAAATTATAATCTTTCTCTCATTAAGGGTTAGTCATACTTTTTTATTCCCTTAAAGCAGTGATTCTCAATAATATAAATTATAATGAGTACATGTCAGCTTTAACTCCCCTTATTTCTCTAAGAGTTGAGGAATCGTCATTTTCCAGAAATTCCCAACCCATTATATGACTAACAGTTGGCAAATTTGGCGCATTGGCCTGCACAAAACGATTTGTAACTTTTAATGAGGATCTATAAAAATAAAAACTTTTAATAGTGATGCGCACGGAAAGGTAACACTTTACACTGGGAGCTACCGTCCGTTTCATTTAACGGAAGAACTTACAGCTAGAAACCATTTTAAATTATAGATAATCCTTCTTCACCTGAATACACAATTCCGGTCAGTCGCTTAAAAAGCCGTTGCTTTATATATGAAAATTTAAATAAAAGAGACGAAATTTGATGTTTCATTTAACGAGAAAACTGACAGCTAAAAATTTGATGAGATGTATAATATGTGTCCCTAAAAAAGAAAACATTTTGATTACTGTTCTACGTAGATGCGTTTCGAAAACTAACGGGTACCAAAGTCATTAATTTGTGCAGAGCATTTAACTGAAAGACTTACCATTGGCGTAAGGCGTAATACACAGCGAACCAATCTAAAATAGAATTTGAGATGGCTGACGACATAAGTTTTTCCATTTCAAAACTGACTCAAATTTTTAATTTGAGTTGAAATCATTCAACGAAAAACCTTACGGCAGAAAGGAGTCACGTTTGACAGATAAGACAATAATGAAGTGAAATCATACCAACTGACGGCTTAAGTCGGTTGCAATTTAAAACTGACACCCCTAAATTAATTTGATTTGTGGAATATATTTAACTGAAGGACTTAAGCTACGAACAAATCTAAAATAGAATGCGAGATGACTGGACTACATTTTAGTAGACGTTGTAATTTTAAAACTGACTTGATTTTTTAATTTTTGTTGAAGCTATTCAACGAAAAACCTTATGGCTGAAAATTATCTAATTCAATAGATTAAATGAAAATGAATCGAAACCGTACCAAATGACTGCTTAAATCGCTTGCAATTTAAAAACTGACGGTGCCAACTTTACTAATTTTTGCGGTGCATTTAACGGAAGGACTTACGCTTGGAACTCGGCCCAAAATACTTAGCAACCCAATTTAAAATAGAATGCTAGATGACTGACGACATTAATCGTTGTAATTTTAAAACTGACTTGATTTTGTGAACATGAGTTAACATATTTCAACGAAGAACCTTATGGCTGAAAGTAGTGTCCTTCGATATATAATACAGAAATGAATCGAAAGCCTAACAACTGACCAATTGCAATTTGGGGTATACTTACCGGAAGAACATGTCGCTTGAACTGGACTCAAAAAATGTGCAGTGTATATTTTTTATAACATCTCAGCTGTATATTTTTTATAACATTTAGAATTATAGAAAATATAAATTTCTTCACCTGGGATAAAATCCAGCACCAGGAATTCAAACTCTGCATATTCTGCATATATCTTTCTGTTAATCTGAAAAATCTCGAGAAAAAAATAAAAGAACCTCTCTTATTCACTTCACAAAGATGAATTGATCACATTTAGTCCAGTAAACGTAGGGGAAAAATAGCCTTACCCCAACATTAAATAAATTAAATGTGAAACTTGTCAGAAATTGTTTATTACCCTCCCCATTATAACTGGTAAAAAGTCCCAAAGAATCCTGTGTTGGGTTTTGATGAGGAAGGACAGAAAAATGAATTTTTTATTGTTTTTTAAGAATATCTCAAAACGAAGAGGTTTTTTGCAAAGATTGTTCAGTATAATATTAAAGTACTTTAAAACCTCCATAAAAATGATCCATTTTTTCGATAAAATTAATGGTTACGGAGATATTTTTGAGATTCTATTTATTGTTATTATTCCACTTCAAGCAAAAATTGCTTCAAAGCACAAAATTGATGTTGTTCATAGTAGATGATACCTTTTTGAAGTTTACCAATTTTTTTTGCATTTTCGAATTTTTTAAGTTATTATTCATAGTTTATTTCTTTTAATGATTCTAAAATGTCATTGATAACAGAATTATATTCGATATCAATCAATGGGGATTTTCGTGATAATGATATGAAGTTTATATTGACATTAATTTCATATAAAAAAATAAATAAAATGTTTATGAGTCATATTGAATATTTAATAGTTGACTGTTGCATTATAAAGGAGATGGTCTGGGTTGGCGGTCATAAATAGGCTAAATAGTGGTAAAACTATTTTATTAAAAGCAAACGTTTCGACCCGACTTTGCAGGTCTTCTTCAGGGAGGTGTGTTCAGCTAGGAGTTTCACTTAGAGCAGTTCTAAGTGAAACTTCTAGCTGAACACACCTGCCTGAAGAAGACCTGCAAATTTGGATCGAAACGTTGGCTTTTAATGAAATAGTTTTACCACTATTCCATCTCCTTTCTTTCTAAAACGTTTAATTTAGATTACAACCAATTACGTCATAGTAAACTAGATTAAATCTACATTAATCTTGTTTATTTTAAAACCATTTAAAGAAGACTTTTAAGCAGTTAAACTACTGTAAGTTCGGTTTTTCATAAAGTAAAGGATCCTTTGTGATTTTTTTTTTTTTTTGTTATAACCTCCCAACTAGACTGAAGGTACCACACTTTAAAAAGAATTTGATTGTTTGATGAGCTTTAAGTTTATATTAAGGTCATCAAACAAGGAAGTTTTTCTGAAAGTGTGGTATCTTCAGCCTAGTTGCGAGTTTATAAAAAAAATTGCGAAGAATTCTTGATTTTATGAAAACCTGAACTTACCGTATTTAACTACTTATAAGTCCCCTTTAAATGGTTTTAAAATAGACAAGATTTGTTTGTATTTAATTTAGTTTACTATGAAGTAATTGGTTGTCATATAAATTAAACATTTTTTTAGTTATTGCTTTTTATTCAACATAAAACGTTGTTGGCTTAAAAAAATCAAAATTTTCTGTGGTTCTCTGCTGTAACCATTGATTTTACTGAAACAATGTATAGGATCATTTTTATAGAAATTCCAAAGTACTTAAATATTATACTGAACAATTGTTGCGAAAAATCTCATAGTTTTTGAGATATTCTTAAAAAACATCATTTTTTTATCCTTCTCCCCCTCCTCCCATTAAAACCCAACACATGATTCTTTGGAAATTTTTATCAGTTATTATAAAGAGAGTAATAAATAATTTCTGACAAGTTTCATCTTTAATTTTTGAATGTTGGGGGGGTCAATCCGCAATTTTACTGGACTAATTTGATCGTAAAGCACCTTTCGAAAAAGAATAAAGGGTATGACAATTTCTGGGTAAAAGCTTTCTGGAATTCATATAATTCCATAGACAGGATCCTCAACAAACATACTTATCAGACGAAATACCAGACGAAATTAAATTAAGCTTAAGAACATTATTAGAATACCAATGTTTAATTTATTTATTAACCTTTTTGTAAAAGTCAATAGAAAGAGCAGCGTCTTCAGTCAATCAATCAAAAATATTTTGAATAGATAACCATTGTAATAAAGTCATAAAATAAGAAATAAATAATGATTTATTATATATTTCTTTTTTCACAATCAGCTTACAATAACAGATATATTTATTTTTAAATACTTAAAATTGCTAATGTAGTAAAGAACAATTGTTAATATTTCACTTTAACCAGACCATTTTTATCATTTGAAAAAAAAATTAAATCAGAAAACAGAAATAATTTAAATACATTGGGCGGTCAGTTTATATGGTTTTGTTACATTTTATTATAACCTACGGAATGCATTCACATTCACTGTTTAAGTTTTCGTTGGACAGTATCAACATTTGCATAAAAATATTGTTAATTTGATGAACAACGTCCATAATCAGTCATCTTGAATTCAGTTTTAGGTCAATACGCTGCACATTTTGAGTCCAGTTCAAGTGACATGTCCTTCCGTTAAGTATACCCCACGAATGGAGTGAATTTGTGGGTGTCAGTTTTTAAATTGCTACCTATTTAAGCGGTCAGTTGGTATGCTTTCGATTCATTTTCATTTAATCTGTCGAATGAGATACTTTTCGCCCATAAGATTTTTTGTTGAATAGCTTCAACTAAAATAAAAAAATAAAGTCTGTTTAAAAATTACCATTTATGTCATCAGTCATCTTGCATTCTATTTTAGATTGGGTTGTTTCGTATTTTGCGCCGAGTTTCAAGCGTAATTCCTTCCGTTAAATGCACCGACAAATTAGTAACTTTAGCACCGTCAGTTTTTAAATTGCAAGCGATTTAAGCTGTCAGTTGGTACAGTTTCGATTCATTTTCATCTAATCTATCGAATGAGATAATTTTTGGCCATAAGGTTTTTTGTTGAATAGCTTCAACTAAAATTAAAAAATCAAGTCAGTTTTAAAACTATAACAATTAATGTTGTCAGTCATCTCGCATTTTCTTTTAGATTGGTTCAGAGCATAGTTCCTTCACTTAAATACATTCCATGAATCAAGTAAATTTAGGGGCGTCAGTTTTGAATTGCAACAGACTTTAGCAATCAGTTGGTATGATTTCACTTTATTATTGTCTTATCTGTCAAACGTGACACCTTTCTGCCGTAAGGTTTTTCGTTGAATGATTTTACTCCAAATAAAAAATTCGAGTCAGTTTTGAAATTGCAACGACTTACCTTGTCAGTCATCTTGAATTCTATTTTAGATTGGTTTACTGCGTATTTTGAGCTCAGTTCCAAGCATCTTTTAGTTAAATGGACCACAAAAATTAGTGACTTTGGCACCCTTATGTTTTCGAAATGCATCTGTGTAGACCAGCAGTCAAGATGTTTTCTTTTTTAGGTAGATATATTATACATAACATCAATTTTTCAGCTGTCAGTTTTCTGGTTAAATGAAACGTTAAATTTCGCCACTTTAATTTAAATTTTCTTATGTAAGCAACGTCTTTCAAGCACTGACCGGAGTTATGTATTCAGAAGAGGATTATCTATAATTTAAAATGTTCTAGCTGTAAGTCCTTCCGTTAAATGAAACTGGCGTTAGCTCCTATTCTACTTAGTCTGTGGTGGTACGAAGATGTGATATCATGAAGACTGTATTACTAGTTTTGCTTAGTCAAAAAATGTATGATGTTTTAAAAAAAATATCTAGCGAACAAATTTACTTCATGAAACTGTGGAAATCATAGTTGTAAAAAGAAATCTATTGTCCAATAGTTTTTTCATTAACATTTGTGACATATTCATGTAATATCACATTTGTTTCTAAACTATGTGAACCTCTCACAACAGTGTATACATGGGATATATTTTTTATTTTTATCATCTGAACTAAGTGGGCAAGATATTTTTTTTAAAGTTTAAAAAATGTACTGATAATTCATAATTAATTCTAAAACAAGTCTGTTGATAATCTTGAAAATTTTACATTTTTTAATTTAAAGTATTAATTTGTGATTATAGTTGCTTGATGTAGATCCAGAGGAAACTGAGGAAGATGGTGCTGTTGTAGATCTTGACGCTCGTCGAAAAGGAAAATGTGCCGTTATTAAAACATCAACCAGACAAGTAAGTTAAATCTCAAAAATAGTTTTATTTCATTTGATTCCCAAATATTGGTTTTATTATCATATTATAAATTGGTTCTTCAGCCTGTATAGGACCTAGACCAGGGATAATCAATCTTTTTTACAATGGGCCAAGTAATCCAAACAATGAATGATGAGCGCAAATGATATTCTAGTGATAATGGAGTAAAAATGAAATAAATAGGTATTCCTCCAACTGATTTTGCTTTATTACCAATTCAATATCCAAAGTGAGAGGTTCAAATACAAATTCCAGATTGTAGCCATAGTATAACAATAGAAAGTAATTAATAAAATAGAGAGAGAAAACGCCTCTTTGGCCAACACAAAACTACTATAGCTGGTAAGAGATTACTTATGGATTTGTATCTGAATAATATGAGAAATACTATTGCATAATAATAATAAAGAACATTAATGATAAACAAAAATAATTTTTCAACTAAACATAGAAAGGAGAAATAAAAAGGATCAAATATAAGTGGGAGTGGCAAATCGATGTCATACAACTCCTTTGCTCACTCCAGTTGTATGTATATAGCCTGCCTCTTTAAAACTCTACTACATAATCCTTATAATCTCTTTAAAACTACTGTTCGAGCTGCATCTAAGAAACTTGTGACAATACAAATGCTAATGATGAGCAAAAATGATCTATTTATTAAAAATGATAAAAATAAGATTTTAAAATTTAAATATTACATTAAAAAAAAATGTAAGATATATGTGGAAAAAAATTATTTAATGAGGGTTCTTTGTTATCAGTTGGTCTATATTTGTTGATATTGACAACTCTGCAACTCGCAAACAGCTTTCTTACAGTACATCATTTAACTTTGATTGCTGATCATTTTTCAAAAATTATATTCATATCAGAAAATATTATTCGCGAATATAGATACCTAATAAAAAAAAAAGTCATATGTGTGCATAATTGTGGGAATTTTTCCAAATTGATGTAATTTGTTTGTCAACATTCTGAAAATAACATTACTTAAATGTTGTTTTCTAAATCAATTGATTCTGTTTGTAACACATCTGAACTGTTTCGACATTTACATTAAAAGCGAAGAAAAGATGTAAAAACTAAATACCTTTTTTTTTAAATCTAAATATTTCGATTCTGTTATTAATTTTTGTAAATTTTAGTCATGTTTTTAGGCTTATTAATTAAAAGTAAAAATGACTTTGCTACGTTATACTGGTTTCCTTGTGAAATAAAGCTTCTACCCAGAGCCTACAGATGGCATGGGGATTTATTTTGGTGCTTTTCTTGTAGAATTCATGAACCGTTATGGGTGACTACCTGCTCCCGCCTTTCTCTGGCTGTCTTGACCATTTTCATTCTTGTTTTTGTATTATGTGGTGTGAAATAACTGTGTACTGTATAGTATTTCTAAAAACCAGCTCTCCCATTACCTAAAAATGGACTGTCGACATAAGTTAAGATACACCTTGTGGTGGAAATAATTGCAACAAAATTGATTCTTATTGTAAATGGTAAGTAGCTTACTCCTTATTAGCTTACTAGAAATATATATCCCTACTGTCACGCAAAATGTGTTGTTTTTTATTGCTGTCATCTTGAAAGATCCATCAAATTAAGAAACATAATCATTAAGTATAAAATTAATCGAAATTTCACCCTGAAAAAAAAATATGATATTGATTTTTCTTTAAATCTAAGAGATTAATAAAATGGTGGCTGGAAAACCTAAAACTTCTGCAGTATTAAATAATATATTTTTTTATATCTTACATTTGTAAAATATTCTAGTCTTAACTTCGCTCACAATAAATAAAAGTTAAATTAAAAAAAATATATAATTAAAACAATATGGCAAGAGTGAATAATTTAAAATTAAGGTTAATTAGTTATATCCTGTTATTTTTTTCAGACTTATTTTTTGCCTGTTATTGGCTTAGTTGATGCAGAAAAATTAAAGCCAGGTGACCTTGTTGGTGTGAATAAAGATTCTTATTTGATTCTTGAAACTTTACCTGCAGAATATGATGCACGTGTTAAAGCTATGGAAGTTGACGAAAGACCAACTGAGCAGTATTCAGACATTGGTGGGCTAGACAAACAGATTCAAGAGGTATGCATTGTACAGTTATATATATAACTAGTCTTCAACAGATTTTTAATTTTACTTTTTATTGATTTCATTGGTTGACTAATGTATGATGGTCATCAGTTTTTTTAGTTCATAAATTTATTGTATTTGTATAAAAATGAATAAACATGGTTATATATTTTAGCTAATTGAAGCTGTTGTTCTTCCCATGACCCACAAAGAAAAATTTGAAAATCTTGGAATTCATCCTCCTAAAGGTGTATTACTTTATGGACCTCCTGGAACAGGTATCAAGTGTTAATAATATACTTTGCTTGGTTGTTCATAATTCCTATCTCATTTCTAATTTTATGCCTTCTTCAGTAAATGTCCAATTATTCTAATTCACTGTACATAAAAAATAAGCAAGAGAAATAATGTGACTTAAATAATGTACAGTTTATATAATTATAATCAACACATTTACATTCATATGTGTATCTCTCTCTTACCATCTATGCCTGGTTGCCATGAGGCAGCCTTACAGTTTCCTTCAATCTCATAATGACCCCTTATCTCTCATCTCCATGGTCACTCCAACAGATGATGTGGCAGGTAAGCTTCACCATCAGGTTATTTCTCACTAGTTGCAACTGATTTCTTCATCTGTTACCTGTAACCAGCTGTTAGGTGATGAAATTTGAGGTCCTTACAGTATAGTCAGCAATATATACTTAGTAATAATAGTTAAATGAAACCAAGTAAGCTGGTATACCCTATATTCTTAAAGGCAACTGTCAAAATTTATCTCTGTTCTGTTATCATCGCCAGATGTATAGAAGAGAGCTTATCGGTAAACTTTATCTTTGATTTATTTCTCACAATATTACAATATTATACACAAGTTTTAATTGTCTTGATAAGTCTCTAGGTACATTGAAAAAGGAACTTTGAAGAGAAAATTAATGTTATTATTTAGTCTTGCTATTTATCTTTAATTATGAATTAAGTTTAAGCATAAATTGGTGTTACTATCGAAATCACTGTTAACTGCTGTTAACTATTGAAATCACTTATAATTGGACTTCGGCCTATATATCTTGTTATTATGCATGGTAGTGTAAGTATTTGTGTTTTATTATAGGAGATTAAATTAGTTGTTTAGCTTTTGTTATTCAGAAATTAACGATTATTTCTTATTAACACAAAGTTATTTTATTTCAAACAATACAGCAATACCTCAAGATTCATAGGTTTGACATCCCCGAGTTTTGATTATAATGTAGTAAAATAGATAGTAAAATGTAGAAGAATATATTTATATATTTCATTATTTTTGTTGAAAGATATTTTTTCTGAATCATTCTATATTGGCCCCTGTGTCATAAAATTGTATTGTTGTCATCTTTGTATTAGATATTTTTCTATACCTTATAATCTAGCCCTATAGCTGTTAAAGAATACTAGACAAGTTGTTCCCTAATTTATCTATAATCACGGTGACCATATTTCTTGAGCTGTGATTTGGGGCAGATTTTTCGTTCATTGTGAGGATTGAAGATTTCTTAGAGCTCATAGATGCAGTACTAACCTCTTTTCATATTTCAACATAAAATAGATTAATATTAAAAACCTTATCCTAAATATTTTGTTGTATATTTTTTCTAAATGTTTCGATTGATATGACATACCTTCAGTACAAGAACTGGTTCTATATTTGTGTAAAAAAATTTGTTTGTTAGGCTTCAACTGTTACTTTATTTTAATAATGAATTATAAATATTTTAGGAAAAACTTTATTGGCAAGAGCGTGTGCAGCTCAAACAAAATCTACTTTTCTGAAACTTGCTGGTCCCCAGCTAGTACAGATGTTCATTGGGGATGGAGCCAAACTTGTTAGAGATGCTTTTGCTCTTGCTAAAGAAAAATCTCCAGCTATTATATTTATTGATGAGTTGGATGCTATTGGGACAAAAAGATTTGATTCTGAAAAGGCTGGTGATCGAGAAGTTCAAAGAACTATGTTAGAGTTACTCAACCAGTTAGATGGATTTAGTTCAACAGCTGACATAAAGGTATTTTATAAATTTATAATATTCTAAAAATTTGTACATATAATCTTTTTGAGAAATTCTATGCAGATAATTTTTTTTTTAGCTATTGAAGCAGACACATTTATCTCATAAATATCTATGAATCACTTTGTACAGTTAACCTTTCGTTTTCTTTCTTGTAACCAGACTTAGACAATAATTCTATCACATGTTTAATTACTTAATACCTTACAATCATTTTTAATTTTTATCTTTTTTATTTCTGTCTGTGTTTCAAGTGTTTTAATAAAGTAGCTAAAAAGATTTACTTCTTAATTGATTAAAAACATTATAAATGTTTCCTATCATGACAACTAATTTATTTTAACATAGGTAGTCAACAGACTTTTCAAAATTACTCTATCCTGGTCAATTGTAAAACCTGAATTTGAAGAATGTCTCATGTTTAAGTTATTTTTTACTTAAGAAAATCTTTTCATTTTGTTTTATTTATTTTAGGTTATTGCTGCTACAAATAGAGTAGATATTTTGGATCCTGCCCTTTTGCGTTCTGGACGACTCGATAGGAAAATTGAATTCCCACATCCTAATGAAGATGCTAGAGCACGTATAATGCAAATACATTCCCGTAAAATGAATATTAGTGTAGATGTGAATTTTGAAGAACTTGCTCGTTCAACCGATGATTTCAATGGAGCTCAGTGTAAAGCTGTTTGTGTGGAGGCTGTAAGTAGAAAATCATATTGCTTATCTTTTTATTTTTAATTGGAGAGAAATGCTTTATTCCCAAAGTGACATAATTTGGCTGCTACATACACTCAAACTATGTCAATTTCAACTTTACTTAATCATTGTCTGGGCCCATAACCTTTGACAATAACAATAGTTTAATGGGCAAACAAAATTATACACACTCATAGATCAGAACACATTTATTGAGCACACTGTAGCGTTCTGTAGAGTTCACCCAGACAGATTACTACAACCAATGCATTCTTTATATAAAATACTTTCATAGTTATAGTAAACATAATTTATATTCATTTTGTTTATTTATAATAATTTAGTTACAGAAAATAATAATAGAAATCATGTTGGTTTAGTCTTTCTAGTTATTTTGTACTTTCATCACTCTATGTGCGGGCAACTATTGGGGCAAATTGGGCAACCATGCTGATTTTTTAAAAAAAGATGTTGGTTCCAAACAAATAAGTACTATTGATTTGTGGGCACTCACATAACCTCTTATTAAAATTTTTATTGGTGACCAAAAAATGTTGTCGTAATGCTGTCCTACTTCATACGATTGCTCTGTACACAGCATACTGACCAATTCATATGGACATAATCCATAGATTACATTATTCTACTACTACATATATATATCTTTCTTTTTTTCATTTCTTCTTTTTCCTCCCTTTTCATAATACTAGTCTTATAAAGTATAAACTAATAACTACACCAAGCCTAATCTTTTAAACTGAAGAACATCATAATGGTGGAGATCATGTTGGCTGTAGATCAATTAGTAGGATTAGTTGGTTAGAGTGCAGTGAAATATTTAAAAAATACACACAGACTGGCCTATAAGAAAGTAAAGACTTTAGTTGTGAACTTTTTTCTTATTTGGCTGCACTGCCAACCAACCTCTACTGAAATCATCATATTTAGGAATTTTATTTCTCTTTTATACCCGGTAAGCATTTCCTCAACCCCTTTCTGTGTAGGTACCTGATAAAAAACTAGGCAGATAAAATATAAAGGAATATATTATCTATACAAAAAAATAAATAAACACATCAGAGTCTGTTCAAAACTTGGTTGATACTTAATCATTCATATTATAGATAAGTTGATAAGTTGAGGTTTTAGAATCAAGTTAAAATTTAATAAGTAAGAATGCTGAAAATTGTTTCAAAATCATCTTTAAATTTGATATTTTCATTAAGTTAAATCTAAATTTTTTTTTCTTGAAATATTTTTTCTGGATTTATCACTATTCATAAACATTCACTAAAATAAACTTACTAGTAAAAATATAAATATTTATTTATAGGGTATGATAGCTTTGCGTCGAGGAGCTGGAGTAGTTACCCATGAAGATTTCATGGATGCAATATTGGAAGTACAAGCAAAGAAGAAAGCCAACTTAAACTATTATGCTTAAGTGTTTTGAAATTATGCAGAAACTCATTTGCATTCTTTTTGTGGGGAGTGCCAATAACTGTGATTGACTTTGTAATGTTGTAAACTTGTAAATATGCCACTTTATATTCAACCAGCAATTAAAATATTAAATTTGTTTTTTATTAAATTCCAAAAGTCACTCCAGCTAAAATATTTCTTGTTTTTTTTTAATATTTTTTTTTTAGTTTTAATTTTAAAATAATTAAGTTGTCAACATCAGTTATGAATTGTCTCTAGTTTGTTTACTATTTTGTATGAGTTTCTGCCAAATTTAATATTTAATTTACAATTCTATCGTTATTTTCTAAATAAATTTAATCGTTGGTACACAGACAGTGTTAAAATTATTTCTTATCTTGAACTTGTTTTTGTAGTAATGAATTTATTGTATTTTTTTTTATAAATTGTTCTGTGTTATTTGTGTTCATATTTAAAAATAATTAAATTTACCATTAAAATATTTCTTTTTAATGTTTCTGTTCCTTATATATGTAATTATAGCAGAACTGATTAAATAATGTAAAGCTATGTACGTCTTTATCTTGTACCAATTTATTTTATAAAGAAACCACTAAAAGTGAATGTCTTGATTTTATTTCTTACCAACATTGTACTTATTTTATAGAGAAACTTTTAAGAGTGAATAACTTGACTTTATTTTATGTAGTTTATATACATACTAAATAATTTATTATTACTATTCTTTTTTTTAAGTATTTGTGTATATATACAATTTTGTCATGCCATGTTAAATAATTCTTAACATCTAGCTCAAATTGGGTTCTAATTGATGGATTTTTTAATTTGTCCAAATTAAAATTCTCAAAATCGAAACGGTTTTCTTTTCTCTTTTTTATATTAATTTTTTGTTGAAGTTTCGCGATTACTAATTCATGATCTGACCCACATTCTGCTCCGCGATAAGACCGTACATTAATTATACTGCTTTGCCAGCTATGTTGTATCAAGACATGATTGATTTGATTTCGTGTTTGCGAATCCGGTGATGTCCAAGTATATTTATGAATATCCTTATGTTTAAACGTCATACTTTTAATTAACAGGTTTTTCGAGATAGCAAAGTTTATCAGACGGATCCCATTATCATTACTATATTCGTGCAAACTTTCTTTACCAATCGTCTGAATATAAACTTCTTCCCTTCCTACCTTTGCGTTCGCGTCACCTATAATTATTTTCATGTAGTTTCGCGGTAGTTTATCATAAACCCGTTCGAGTTTATCGTAAAATTCACTTTTGACTTCATCGTCACTGTCTTCGGTCGGACAATGTATGTTTATTAATGCAATTTTAAACCAACGTCCCTGAAATGTAGCTACCGAAATTCTATCACTAAAGAATTGTACGTCCCTCAAAGCGGATAGTAATCTACTCCTAATTAGAAACCCGGTACCCAAACAATGATTCCCGCTTCCTCCGTACCAAATAGTGTACTTTCCTTCCCTCATCGAGCCCTCCCCTGGCCAGCGAACCTCTTGCAGAGCCACGACATCCAAGTTGTACCCATTGTACCAGAGTGCTGAACCATTGATAGAAGAACCGAGTAAAGAGGAAGTTGAATTAGCTATCGGAAAACTAAAATCTTATAAAGCAGCGGGAACTGACAATATTCCTACTGAACTAATTAAGGCATGCGGGGAAGCTGGAGTTTCTAAAATACATCGGTTGGTTAAAAAGATCTGGGTGAATGAGAAATTACCTGAAGAATGGAAAGAATCTATTCTTATTCCGATTCACAAAAAGGGCCGAGGACGGATTGTAATAACTATCGAGGAATTTTACTCCTTCCGGTATGTTATAAAATATTCACTTTAATCTTAACCAGTCGAATCACGGAATACGCCGAGGAAATTATCGGAGACTACCAATGCGGATTTAGACGGAATCGTTCGACTATTGATCAAATATTTTCTTTACGGCAAATATTAGAGAAAAAATTGGAGTACAACGGTATTGTTCACCAGCTGTATATAGATTTTAAAAAGGCTTACGATTCTATTGACCGCCAGAAACTGTATAATATTCTAATCGAGCAGGGGATTCCTAAAAAATTAGTAAATCTAGTCAGGATGTGCTTGACGGAGACACTCAATAAAGTTAGAATCGGTAATAATCTGTCCGAAAAATTTGAGGTTCGTTCGGGTTTAAAACAGGGGATTCCCTTTCGCCTGTCCTGTTCAATTTGGCATTAGAACATGCCATTAGGGAGGTAATGCGTACCGAGAAAGGGTTGGATCTGGGTGGGACAACATCCGTGCTGGGCTATGCTGATGATCTGGTACTGTTAAGCGAAGACCTTGAAACTATAAAACTAAATACGACAACGTTAATGAAAGCCGGTAAAGAACTAGGACTCGAAATAAACGTGGATAAAACAAAATATATGATTAGCTGCAAAAATGGCGATACTACTGGTGATATCGATATAGATGGTAATATGTTTGAACAGGTAGATAAGTTTAGGTATCTAGGTTCTACGATAACTAGAAAAAACGAAATTGAAGAAGAGATTAAGGTTAGACTGAAGGCGGGAAATGCTTGTTATTTTTCTGTGACAAAACTACTTAGTTCGCGCCTCTTGTCCCGAAACTTAAAAATTAGAATCTATAAAACAATTATCTTGCCTACAGTTCTTTATGGATGCGAAACTTGGCCGCTTACATTAAGGGATGAGCAGCGTCTTAAGGTTTTTGAAAATAAAGTATTGCGTAGAATATTCGGACCGAAGAAGGATGAGTTAACCGGAGAGTTCAGACGGTTACACAACGCCGAATTGCGTGAACTGTATCCGGGTAATATAATTGAGGTAATTTCATCGCGGCGAATCAAATGGGCTTGTAAAGTTGTTGGGCTTAGTAACGAGAGAATTCCTAAAAGGTTAATATTTGCTGTGCCGAATGGTAAGCGTCCGAGGGGTAGACCGAAGCGAAGGTGGGAAGATTGCATTAAAGCCGATCTGAAGGGACTGGGTTTGGACGGCGAACGGTGGAGGGAGGTGTGTAATAAGCGATTGGTGGTGTCGGCATCGAACCTTCGGGTTCGCTAAGCCTTTTTATTACTATTATTATGTTAAATAATATTCTACTTACTTTAAAAAATAATGATAAGTAATATAACTTTTTTTTTTGCTAGCCTGTTGGTACAAGTATGTTAGATACCTGTAGGCCTCCCCTTATTAAGAGGGTATGGTCTAACTTCCAGCCGTTGTGGACAGTTGTGCCAGGATTCGGTCCTATGATCTTTACTTAACTAGTGTAATATGCTAACCTCTCTGTTATACCGGCCCCAAATATAATATTAATATTTTTTAAATATAAAATATATAAAAAAAACAGGTTTTCAATTATAAAGGTATAAATTGCTGTTGCGAGTGTATCACTTACTCTAAGCTCTGCGAGTTGAATGGTCTTACCAAGTTATTCTATTTCGCAAAGGCTCCTGGACTGTTTTAAATGAGAATAGGATGATATACGATAGGCTTCAATGATGGCGCAGTCTATCTTTCTTGGGGATGGGGAAGTTATAAATAAATTTTATATAACTGATACCAATTGTATGCTTCATATAATTTTAATGTTGATTCTGTTGTTTCAAGAATATAGATTTTTGGTAAAACTTTAGTAGCAACATCATGATGGTGGTTCCCTGAACTATAGCCAAGAGAAGTTGGACCTGCTATCATTGTTGTTTGATGATTAGAAACAGATGTATTTGATAGATATAGCATTTCCAAGTCAATTTCAACCTTTTCCAAATCAAATTCAACCTTTTCCAAGTCAAATTCAACCTTTTCCATTTCAAATTCAACTTTCGAATTTTTGTCAATTTTCGATTTTTTTCGAAATGAAGGCCACTTACTATATAAACGAAGGTATAGCTTTTGAAAATACAAAAAAATTTTGATAACGCGGTTGCATATCCATTTATTTTAACATTTTAGATTTTTTCAGTGTGATATTTCTATGTCATTTCCAAGTCAAATTCAACCTTTTCCAAGTCAAATTCAACCTTTCCATTCAAATTAAACCTTTTCCATTTCAATTAAACCTTTTCCAGTCAAATTCAACCTTTTCCATTTCAAATTCAACTTTCGAATTTTTGTCAATTTTCGATTTTTTTCGAAATGAAGGCCACTTACTATATAAACGAAGGTATAGCTTTTGAAAAATACAAAAAAAATTTTGATAACGCGGTTGCATATCCATTTATTTTAACATTTTAGATTTTTTCAGTGTGATATTTCTATGTCATTTCCAAGTCAAATTCAACCTTTTCCAAGTCAAATTCAACCTTTTCCATTTCAAATTAAACCTTTTCCATTTCAAATTAAACCTTTTCCAAGTCAAATTCAACCTTTTCCATTTCAAATTCAACTTTCGAATTTTTGTCAATTTTCGATTTTTTTCGAAATGAAGGCCACTTACTATATTAACGAAGGTATAGCTTTTGAAAAATACAAAAAAAATTTTGATAACGCGGTTGCATATCCATTTATTTTAACATTTTAGATTTTTTCAGTGTGATATTTCTATGTCATTTCCAAGTCAAATTCAACCTTTTCCAAGTCAAATTCAACCTTTTCCAAGTCAAATTCAACCTTTTCCATTTCAAATTCAACTTTCGAATTTTTGTCAATTTTCGATTTTTTTCGAAATGAAGGCCACTTACTATATTATCGAAGGCATAGCTTTTGAAAAATACAAAAAAAAATTTGATAACGCGGTTGCATATCCATTTATTTTAACATTTTAGATTTTTTCAGTGTGATATTTCTATGTCATTTCCAAGTCAAATTCAACCTTTTCCAAGTCAAATTCAACCTTTTCCAGATCAAATTAAACTTTTTCCAAGTCAAATCAACCATTTCCATTTCAAATTAAACCTTTTCCAATTCAAATTCAACCGTTTTCATTTCAAATTAATGTTTTAATTTTTTGTAAAATTTATATATTTTTTTTAAAATAATGGCCATCCCCTCCCCCCCTCCAATATGAAAGTCTATTATTATGATCTCCTAAGTAGAATTTTCACTTACGGATATCGATTTATTGTACCTATTCGGATTTATTAGGAGCTAGTATTATGCTGTCCTGTACCGAGTTTTGAAAATAACCCCATTTTAAGATTAACTGACTGCGTTTCGAATCATTTAAGTTTTTTTGACTTATTCGATATAAGGATGTATTTTTATGTTTCCCGATCAGTAAATTTTGAAAATGACATCCATTTTATGTTTACGCCACTGTGTTTTGACTTATTTAAGTTTTTAAAATTTATCCAATATAAAGGTCTACTTTTATGTTTCTGGAGCCGTAGATTTTGAAAACGACCTCCATTTTAAGATTAGGCCACCGCGTTTCGACTTATTTGAGTTTTTTCGGATTTTTTTCATATGAGGGTGTATTCTTATGTTTCCGGAGCTGTAGATTTTGAAAATGACCTCCATTTTAAGATTAGGCCACCGCGTTTCGACTTATTTGAGCTTTTCGGATATTTTTCATATGAGGGTGTATTTTTATGTTTCCGGAGCTGTAGATTTTGAAAATGACCTCCATTTTAAG